ATAGCACTTAGTAAGGTTCTCTTATCCCTGGCACTCAGTGGTTTAATGGGAACCAAGGAAAGACAATTCTTGGAGTCAATTCTCCACCTAAGCTCCGGCCTTGGCCAAGTCAACCACTCTTAGAGCCTCGGAGGTGGCTGAAGCCTGCTGATGCTGACTTGATGCCTTTGGGCACTTTCCTTTCTCTGCTGATGAGCACCTGCATCTTGCAGAAACACATTAAATTCCTTTCTTCTAAAAAAAAAATAAAAAAATTCCTTTCTTCTCCTCTTTTATTGCTATACTTCAGTCATTATAATTTCCGGACATAGAATAGAATGGGAGTGCTAGAAGTTTGGGAAACAATTTAAAACAAGGTACAAGGATAAATTCTCAGTTTTCCCAGCCTTAGCTTTGCCTTTATCCTCCTCTAAATACTGCCTCTGCTTCAAGATCCTTCTCAGATTCCCCTTCTGCCTTCCTGAACGCCTTCTGAAGAGTTTCAGATGCATCATTGATCTGTGTAACTCCATTAGAAGAGCTGCTCTGTGGTAGGACATCATTCTCTGTATGTCTACATAGTGATTGCTATATATTCAGAGTATGATTTCAGCTTAACAGCTACAGGATCTATCAGAGCACACAGCATCAAGTAGATGTTCACATACTTACTGTATATCTTTTTTTTCTCTCTTATTTTTCTTTTTTTGCTGCACTATCTAACCTTCCGCAGCAAATGCTTCAAGTACTTCTCACTTTCAGCAAGCACGGTTGTGCCATCTGCATAAGGAAGACTGACTCATACTGATGAGTCTCCTTCCTGTGCTCATGCCACATTCTTCTTCATAGAGTCTGGTTTCTCGAATAATTTGCTCAGCATACAGATTAAGTAGGTATGGAGAAAGGACACAAACCTGACACACATATTTCCTAATTTTAAATCATACAATGTTCCCTTACTCTGTTCACACAGCAACCTGCCTTAGTCTAGGCATAGGTTTTGCACAAGCACAATTAGTTTTCTGGAATTCCCATTCTTCTGAAAGTTAATCATAATTTGTTAGGACCTGCCCAGTCAAATGCCTTTGCATAGTCAATAAAGCACAAATAGGCATTCTTCAGGCATTCTTTGCTCAATGTTAGACCTTCTTTAATGGTCCTTCTGCCTAAAAGGATGCTTTTCCTTCCGAACTACAGATCTGAACCATGCCCTAACATCATAATGCCATCTTCATAATCTCTGATATACTTGAGCCCATTGTTATAGTGACTGGGTCAGTTCATCTTCTTGAAGATGTTTTCACTGTATACTTTTAAAAACAATTCATTAAGCCATTTCTCATTATTTTATTTTAACCAAGAAATAATTGTACTTGTATAAGAAAATATTAATCACTTTGGAAAGGGACTTAGTGCTATCCACTTAAAAGCCATTTAGAAGTGCAAATACAGGAAATCTAGTTTCTCACCCATATCAATTGATTGTACAATTTCTATAGTTTTAGATACTTTTGCCAGTCGTTTTAAGAATAACACCTTTTAAAAAGAATTCTCCAGCCCAGGATGGATTAATGTAAGACAACTGGAGAGATGAGCCTATTCCCCCTTGGCTGCCGCTGGAAGACATTTTTCTCCTTTTTCTGTACTTTGCATTTTAACAGTTAATGAAATATGGTTTTGTAGCCTCCCCTAGTTGGTTCAAGTTATCCAGCAGTAACCCAAACAGTGAGCAAAGTGGGAACTCAAGTCAAACATATTCATTAGGATTTTACTGAAACTTAAGTTATTGGCCTAATTTGCTGGCCTGTCCGTTCTGTTTAGATTAGCCTTAAAGTTGAAGATATTTAATCAGCTTTTTTCCTTTCTTTTTAGATTCCAAAAAAAATGATCTGAACAAAGAGCCATGAGTAGGTAGTCCTGTTCAGAAAAGCTTACATCACTGGTATACATGGATGGGTTTGTACTGTCATCTCCTCTGGCACTGTCCCCACCTCTTACTCCCTCGTAAACTCTCTCAGCAGCCCTAAGTGCACTTTGGTCGGCAGCGTTGTGGAGCAGGCTTGAAGGAATGTTTCCACTGGGAGCATTTCTTCCTACACATTGAAAAAGTAAAGGCTTACCTCAAATAATTAAACCCGAATAAAGGTTATTGCTGTTCTGCAAGCTGTAATCAAATATAAATGCAAGAAATCTTAATAAGACTGTAATCACGTCTTTGTGTTCCTTAATCTTGTATTAGAGTTTTAGTAGAGACCAAGTTCAGGGTGTTCAAAGGAGCCTCCCGTTCTCTTCAGGGAAAGTTACCCTAGTGCCAGGCTTGTCCACTCAGCTCCTGTCCCCACATAACTGCTGACTTAAGCCTCTCCGTCCTTCAAACTCTGGCCTGAGCCCCATTCCTTCACCAAATCCCAGGGTGCACCTCTTCCACTGAGTCTTCTCCTACTTAATGCTGCTTGTGATCTTTGAATATGGAAATTAGCATAATCTCCCAACCTCTGACGTGGTAAACACCTTCACTTGGTAAATCATTTCACTTTTGCTGCTTATAATCTCATGTCCAGTACCTACTTCAATGTCAAACAATAATTGCTACTATTTAAAAAAACTATTGGTTGTCTAAGGAAAATTCATTTCTAAAAAATATTGAGTCTTATGGAGTGATTCTTCCTAAGATTACATTCATTAGTAAACATTAGTGAAGTTCATATAATAATTCATTTTAGAATAATGAGTCTACGCTGTGAACTGAAGCACGCCATTTCCCGCTGAGTAGTGGGGCCATGAACACAAAGGTGCTCCAAAATTGGCGACTGTGGCTGCCTGACATTGACCCGAGAAGGGAAGTCACTGCACTTCAGAGAAAGCTCGTTCTTTCCTGTCTTCACCCTCTAGTCCCCCAGACTCTAACCTCTACATCAGCTTTTCAGTTGTTCTGCCGTAAGAGAAAGATATGGTGCTATTCAATACCTCCTTGTGACCCCACACCTGCCACACTGAAGAACATTAGCATTAATATTCTACACAAGAGAGGGGCAACAGTGCTACTCAGAATAAGGCCATTGAGTTGGGAGCCCTGGCAACCAGATGTCAGGTCTGAGTCCACCAATATGGCATTATCTAAGAGAAAAACAAAATTACTTCTTTGACACTGTTTTTCAGTGTTGGTAACCAAAGAGAGGTGAGATACTTTTTGCAAAAATGTCCCAATATTCAGATTCTGAGCTGATATTGATCACTTAACATGTGACAGACCACGTGCACAGTAAAGACATATAAGATATAGTTCTCACTAATCTAGAATCGGGCAGTTCTGGTGGCCTAGTGGTTAGGAACTATAGTGCCAACCCAAAGGCACACAGTTCCAATCTACCAAGAGCTCTGCATAAGAAAGATGTGCAATCTCCTCCTGTGTGATTTACTGCCTCTGAAAATCCACCAGAGTGTTAGTTATGGTCAGTTCTGACTCAATAGCATATAACAACAACAATCTAGAATTACTCTCTAGAAGAGAGAAAAAAAAATTGGTCTCATCATGAAGGACTGAAGCTGGCTTAAAGGCATACAATGATTATCAGAAGTTTCCTTTTCCCCTGAGAGGTCAGAGGGCTAGGAAAAATTCTATTCCACCAGTGCTTCCCAACATGGAATAGGTGATATGTGTATTTGTGAAGCTGGGAGCAAATAAATGGGGAAATTGTAGACTAAACAAAGTTCTTCTTCTTCTTTTTTTTTCCATTGCGGATCTCCTCAGAGACTTTAGTAAGCCAATGTGGACTGAAAATCACTGAAAGAGGTCAAAAGGGAGCTCACTGCTAACCCAGGAAGGCAGAGACAACGATGAGCCATCTCCTCTCTTGCAATGTACAGCCTCTGAAAGCCCCCCTACAGTCAGCTATGAGTCAGTTCCGACTCGAAAGCAATTATTTGGAATGACTGTTTTGAAGAAAGGTCAAAAGCACAAGCTGTGACCCATACAGTACTTCATTTTTCCAGCTTCAGGAGTGATTAGGTTTCTGAGAAACATTCTTTGAAAAGAGCTGTACCAGAAAGACTAAAAATCTCTGAGGTCAGGGGCTGGGTCTTTCTCACCACAATATGCCCTCCCGGCACAAAGTGAGGGTATGTGGGAAGGACTCAGTAAATGTTTACCAGAGGTGTACCTGCTGAATTCTAACGAGTGACTGGCATCCGTAACTCCCAGGAGTTGAGGGTGCCAGGAGCAGGGGGTTTCCTCCCCTGGAGGCTGCCTCTTCTCCACTGGACATCAGCAGTGTGAGTTCCAGATGGACTTCACCTTCCAAGAGGCCTAGAGCCCCCGCAAAGCATTCTACATCCTTCAAGACTTTATTTTCCCCTCCAAAGAAAGGTTCTAATAAATGTTTTTCCAAAATAAAATATAGTAAGAGCCTCATGAAGAATTTTGGCATTTCTCCCGTTTACTAAGTAAACAATCAGTTACACCAGACTCCATAACATGGTTATAGATAATCTTTGTTTCTTTACTGCCACCTTCTGGTTCCAAGGCTTGAATAAATTGAATGAAAATGTTCTCTTTTATCTGTCTTTCACTACTGAATTTTAAGTACTCGTTCGTTCGTTCCTTTACCTCACTTGATGTTACACAAGTTAGAAACAGGTAGCATGGCTTTTACCCTTTTTCATTTGACCTGAAGTCAATATAGAAGTTAGGTTTTCTGCCTCATGGTATTAAGTCAGATTAAACACATATGTTAGTTCTTCCAATGAGCAAACACTGGATTAAATCATCTAGCTTTGTATAGACACATTTGCAAAGACCCCTTTCCCAAGCACAATCTTAAGAGGAAAAGTCCATGCTCTTAAAAGAGATGATGTTATTCACATGTTTTTTTTAGGAAAAAATCCATTTTGCTTTACAAAGTCTTTGACAGAATAATGTCTAGTATTGATATTTTTTTAAAAAAAATCTAATTATTAAGACATGAGAGTATCATACAAAGTAACCAAAAGATAGCAACCCACCAACTTCTTGCTACACATACCTTGGTCTGGAAGCAGCAGTAGAGTTGAGTTAGGTACGGGTGTTTTCGTGCCAGGGCCAGAATCCTCTTCTCTGTCATTGTGCAGTCCACGTCATCATCCTGAAGGATGACATCCTTTTTTAAGACCTTCACAGCATACACTTCATCTTTGCCCTTTAGTTCTGCCAACATGACCTGTAATCAACCAGTCATAAGTTATATCTGATTATTAAATATTGTACCATAAAGTTTTAAAATTTAAACAGTCCATTTGCTATACTGAGGTAATCTGGGTTTGCTGTGAAGCAGAACCTTGTGTCTTTGGGGGTCAAATGCCATAACAGCTGCCCATGGTGAACAGTGTTTGGTGGAGGTCCCACTTTAAGGCGGGTATTGAAGAAGGAGTGGCATCCACTTCCTAAACCACCTGCCTCTGGAAACTATGAATTTGAAGAAATGACGATAGTTATAGAAAGGCTTCAGGCCTTTTGTTCATAGGGTCTCTATGAGTTGTGCTCGACTTGATGGCAATCAACAACATCATTAAATTACACTGAGCACTTTTAGAAATATCATTTTCCTCCCTTTCTTTTCAATCACATCTTTAGAATAAAAATGCTTATTACACGGATGGACTCAAAAGCAGCAGCACAGGCCAAGAAGAAATGTGTTACATAACTGCTATGAACCAGAATGGAAGTCATAAAGAGGAGTTAGCTTCTTAGTTTTATGTCAATATTAAAAACATTTTAGTCAAATGAGTATCCTAATATAGCTACTAATATACCTATTTATATTTACTTCCCAGCACCATGATCAATCATAGAAAAGAGAAGCTCAATGCACATCTGTTAAATGCTGATTCCTGTATTCATTTATGTTTGCTACATACACCAACACTTAGAAGATGCAGATAAATTGGTTTTATTTTAAACTAAGAATTATATCAGAAGTGGTCTTTTACATGGTTTCCAGATCATTAAGTTGATATACTACTATTTATCTAGCCATTTCCCATTTCCTGCAAGAGACACAAGTTAAACCTATTATTATATAAATTACATTCAACATTTTTGAAAGTCTGATTTTTTTCCCCTTTTCAATCACATCTTTAGAGTAAAAACTCACATTATAGAGGATAAGATTAAAGTTTTTCAACTTAAAAAAAATAGTTCTTTGCACATATATCTCAACTGTTTTCCAAAAGAATTAGTTTAAATACTCTGCCACTGACAACCTAGAAATATTTCTGTTTCATGGTCACTTATCAACACTGGGTGTTTTTACTTTAAAGGCTTTTGCTCAACAGGGGAAGTGTAACCTCAACACTGACTTAATTTGCAATAAGTCTTTTTTTATAAATAGCTGTCTCCACTATTTTTGTATTATTTGGTTGTATATATTTTCTTAACAATTTGTATATTGTTATGTCATGTACTGTCAAGTCAGAATTGACTCATAACGGGTTTTCAGAGGCAGTAAGTTCAACAAGAGGAGACTGGCCATCCTTCTCCTGAAGAGCAGTTGGTAGATTTGAACCATGTACCTTCGATTGAAAGTGCAACTATTTACCTGGTTATTAAAGTTTTTATTTGCTGCAAAGATTTTTTTTAAGTTAGATTTAGAATTTTGGGTTTTTTCCTATTGAATAAAACTATTTATCTGTATGAAGTTTAAGCTAGAAAAATGATGTCCAGCAAAATCATTACAAGCTCTCCTTTTATCAAGTTTTCCTATTGTCTTATAGTTTTGGACTTATTTCTCTATAAATATCACAAGTGTCTCTCCCTTTTTGTAATAGAGAACTCCTAAGTACAATATTCCAATGTGAGTTGTCAAAGTTAAAAAGGAGCAATTCGGACACTTAAAGAGAAAAGCTGCAATGTGAACCTAAAGCCTTTCCTCGTCCACATACACTAACTCAAAAACTAGTTCTAACTTTGTCTGTGATTTTATTTTTTTTTTTTGTAAGGAACAATGTCAACGCTTCCGAGTTTTCCCCATTCCCATCCTGCCAACACCACATGGAATCTTGGAAACTCTGAGTAAATCATTCTCTTTGAATCTTGCTCAGAATGATGCCAAGTCTTGCTAAGGGCACATTCCCACTCCAAGGTTACGCTGAGACAGCAGGCCAGGATCTACTTCTTATTTAACCAGCCTCTGAAGAATGTGATGATTCCAGCTTTGTCCATTTAAGTAAACTCTAGTTATCTTCCTGCTCTGGAGATCTCCGGATAAGATAGGGGCAGGTGAGGCATGGGAGGCAGACCAGGCCCTATATCCCAAGGGGTTCTTGGAGAATTCCTTTTGGAAACAATTACCTAGGATCTGTAGTCTGTAAACCCACTGACCAACTGGTTGCTGCATTAAAGAGTTCAAGATGTAAGAGGGCATGTGGCCCCAGGAGTTGCCTGATTCAGGTACCTGGTTTCCAGAACAGGGAACTGTCCAAAAAATTAACATTCATCTCTGTCAACTATACTCCACTCACAGCAAGTCCATGTGTGACAGCAGAGCTGTGCTCTACAGTCCTTCAGTGACCAGCTTTTCAGAAATAAATCACTGGGGCTTTTTTTCAAGACACTTCTGGGTGGGCCCAAGCCTGAAAACTTTATTAGTAGCTGAACATGCTAATTGTCTGCTCCCTCAGAAAGACAGCTCCCGCCAATCCCAGGCATCACTTTCAGAAGAGCAAGGTGGGTAAGCAGAGGTCTCAGCTGAAATGTTAACCAGCTTCCTAGGCTCTCTGCCTCTCCATCTTTCTAAAATAAACAGAGCTTAATTTTCTGTCTAACTAAGATATCAAAAAGGAGGCCAAATAGTTAAGTGCTGCTTGACTGCTAATTGAAAGTTAGGAGTTCAAATCTACTAATTGTTCCACAGGAGGAAGATGTTTCAGTCTGCGTCCACAGGATTCACAGCATTGTACACCTTGTGAGGGAGCTTTGAGGGTCAGTCTGTAGCGAGCTGTGCTGATAACCCCAAGGCCTAGCAACAATGGGGTTTTGGCTCCACCAGTGGTACCACAGAAGGTCAACGAGCAGTCTCCTCCCATTTATAAACTCCAGCTTCAGAAACCCTAGAAAGGGTCACTGTGAGTCAGAACCGACTTGAGGGCAGAGTTGAGTTAGCCATGAAACCCTGTGGGGCAGTTCTCTCTGGCTTATCAAGTCATTAAGAGTTGGAATGGACTCTAGTGAGTACAGGTTTATTTGTGTTTTAGAGCCATCAGAAGTACTAACTGAGCACCCTTCACACTTACAGGGCCCACTCTGCGTTGGTACTCAAGACAGAGGTTGGTGATGTAAGATATGAGATGATTATTCCCCCTTCCCCACCACGCATGTGATAAAATTATTAGCCAAGTACCAAAAAGGAGAGGGAGGAGGCAGAGACGCTGAGAGGCGGGAGGGAAGGGGTCACAGAGTTTGGTGGATGGAGGAAGGGGGTGAAGAAAAAAACAGCAAAAACAATCATAAATGAAACACACATAAACCAATTATTGTATGCAAACCGATTACTTTTTTTTCTAAAAAAAATAAAGCACTTAACTTTCAAGGCAATGATACCATTTGCTTTGAACTCTCTTATCCCTGAGGGAAGAGAATACAGAGTTCATCCTCAAGCTTCCTAATTAACACGTTGCCTCAAATGATGGCTATAGTGGTCCCGTACATTTGTGATAATTTTCACTTCCAAACATACGACTGATGCTCAATTTCATATGGCAGTCATAAACAATTGAAAAAAAAATATGTGTTTCTAAGCACGGTCGTCAATTTAAAAGTGTGCAGCAACATGTCAAAATGAGATTTGCGATGAAAAAATATGGTTACTGGTCTGTGGGGCCTTGCGCGGCTCACGCCGAGGTGGCGTCTCTCTGGTGATTTGAATCCACCAACCACTTTTCGGGGGAAGATGAGCAACCTGCTCCTGTGCAACTTATGGCCTCTACAAACCCACTGGCGGGTCAGCTGTGAGTCAGCCCCAACTCGACAGCAATAAAGAATGAAGGGGGTTTTATAACAGAATAGTCCAATGCCAAGCACATAGAATGTTTTTAAATTGTCTAGTGCTTTCTCACTTACTGCCTCACTTGAAGGAGTCATAGGGTGGTGAACACAGCTAACATTCTTGGTTGCTTACCAAAAGCCGGAGGGAGGTTTGAGTCCACCCAGGGGTGCCTCTAAAGAAACGTCTGGCCATTAACTGACAAAAATCACCACTGAAAATCCTACATAGTTCATCTTTGACACACGAGGTCGCCATGAGTTGCAGCCAAATCAAAGGCAACTGCTTTTTTTATCTTATTTGATCTGTCAAGAGGGAGAATTGAGAACTCGCAAGGTTTATGCCACACTGCTACTGAGCCAAAGAACCAGCCTGCCGTCTGCTTGGCCTTCGGCCTTTTCTACTCAGCAGGGATAGGAAATTTTAGCAAGATCAAATTGAGATGCTCATCTTTTAAGCTTGTTATTGTTCTTATGTGCCATTGAGTCAGAAGGGACTTCTAGCTGACCCTACAGCAGGTTTCCAAAGGCTGTAAATCACACAGAAGGAGAATGCCCATCCTTCTCCCACAGAACAGTTAGGGGGTTCGAGCCACATGCCTCTGGGTTGGCAGTGCAGCTCCTTACCACTAGACCCCACAGAGCTCCCTCAGTTAATCTTAAATCAAACTCATGGGGCACTGATCCAAGGTGAGAAAATCAGCAGTTCTCCACAAGCTTGCCACAGACCTTGCCAAAGCTGCCTTTGCCCAACACCTTGATGAAGTTGAACTCATCCAGTCCCAAGCGCTTGGCCTGGCCTTGCCGGACTTCCCCATTCTCGCCAGGGCTGCTCAGGTGGCCATCAGTAGACGCTGCTGCCCGGTGTTCCTCTCCTCGATTGTCAAACGACAAGGCCTTCCTGATGTTGTTTTCAAGTTCTTTTATTTCTAGGCCAAAGGTGATAAGATAGAGCATTAGCACACACGCATGAACATCCAGCTGCCTGACCCTCGCTCCTGTTCTTCACAGCAGGGAAACTAAGTGGCATTGCTGCTTTTGTTTCACACCTTTTCATCTGTATCTAATGTACAACAAGGGTAGGTACATGAAAAGGAGGTGTACATAGTCCCAGCACTCACTGAGTTCATGTATTCCTTCAGGGGGCACTGGAGCTGGGCTCCTCTGAAAACCTGCCTGGCTAGTAGGTGATCATATTATAGGATATTATAGAATAAAGATCTAACCCTTCTCAGGAACCTTGAAGAATAACAAAGCCCATAAGGCACCCTTCGAGCTTCCTCTGAAGACCAGGAGAACAAGTGATGCAGCACAACTACTGTACTATTCATCGGTGACACAACTGTTTCAACAATAGGGAGTAGGCAGTATTCTCTTTTTAAAGGATTTTACTGAGCCTGGTTGCTGAGTTTATCCCACACTCCTGACTTGGCGCCTAAGGCTATCTAATGAAATAAGCAACGGATTTATCATTAAAAAAAAATAATGGCTTCCCAAGATGGCATGCTGCAAATTTATGTCCAAGGCAGCAGGGATTCCCCAGTAGAGTTTCACAACTAGGGAGAGGCTTGTGTCCCTGGAGATATGTGACCTGGATTACCTGGGGGCATTAAGGCTGGGCCATCCTCTGACCTCTTCTATTTGAAGAAGTGCTCTTCTGAGCTATTCATTCACTAATATACTCCTCTGAAGAGGGCATCTTGAGCACAATGTAATTTAAAAATATGTTTGTGAAGAACCAGCATTAAGGAAGAGGGTGTGGTCTTGTGCACTTTGGGGTGAGATACAGCCTTGAGTGCCCAGGTGCTGCTGGGTTTAAAGAGATCTGAAGTCTATCATCACTCTCGCAAGGAACATCCATCTGTACTTGGATCTGGAGCATGGCTCCTCTAGATGTGCAGAGATGGCAGGGGGAGAAGCCAGGGGAACACCTGAGGCTACACACTCCCCCCAGGAAACTCAGAGCTGTCCGACTTTGACCTTCTCTTAACTAAGTATAATTTTAGGTTTCAGTTTGCCAAATTGCTTACTTAGGGCTTTGGGAGGCAAAACCTGGGAAAAGCGTGAAGAAATAGTCTTCCCTGTTTCTTACAATGGAGGGAAGAAAGCCCGTGCCATACCCTTGCTCTGTACCAGCCTCACGTCTTGGAGGAGGGCTTTTGTATCTGTGCCACATTACTGGACCACACTTAAGATACTGGGAATGGGCCTAATAAGGGCCACACCACAAACTAGGGATGGGTCAGGTGTGGCCACCAAAGTCAATTCCTTCTTAATTGGGAACTTCTTACCATAGGACTGTGTGTCTATGAAACTCCATAGGAGGTCTCAGCATTAAAAAATGGAACCATGAAAATGCTCACACTGGTCCAGGAAAATCATTGCCAGTTTGGCAGTGATTACTTATGAGTGAGTTAGAACTCTTTTGGAATGAAGTGGAGTCTATAGAGGCCGAAGATAATTAAAGGAGCATAAGACAACCTCACATCATTCATTTTATAGCCTGAGGGTTGGGATAGCTAGGTTGAAGTGATTTTATTACACTTGGGTTAGAAGAGCTGCTCTTTAGGAGTTTGATGGCATGGATCTTGAAAATAGGATTCCTAGGTCAGAAGGCCTCAGCCACTGACTTAGTTCCTGGCCTAAGGATAAGGGTCTCAACCTGGCAGCCACTCCCATAGCATCTTGTCAAGTGGAGGTATCAACACAAAGTTGGTGAGAGCATAAAATCAAATGAACAAGTCTGAATTAAATTAACAAGAGAGATCAATAATCTCATTCTTTGAAAGACCTCAAGTTCCTCAGTCCTTCCAATGAGAGAGCTCGGGAGAAAGCAAACCGAGGACTCACCTTGGTCACAAGGGGAGGTGGGTGCTGACTTGGATCGATCTTCTTCAGAGGCTGAGCTTCCAGAAGCAGGCTGCAGGGACTCAGCACCAGCAATGAGCTAGTGAGAAGAGAGGCAGAGGGGGAGAAGGGAAAAGCCATCAGACGTGATCAAGAGTACGAAGACATTGTGCCAAGCTCTTAAGAGTGCTTGGTGCCCAGGAACATTGGTGGAACCAAGACCCTGCAAGAACAGAGTCAAGCTCTTATTTTAAGTTAAAGGGACGAAAACAAGAAAATTCAATGTCTTTGATTTTTATTCTATAGTGGCTTAGTGGGGCAAGAGTTGTGCTGCCCACCCAAAGACAGGAAGTTCAAATCACATAGCTGCTCTTGAGAGAAAGGCCGTCCTCTCGCGTGTGATTCAAAGCCTCTGAAACCAAGTGAAAGGTCAGCCGTGAGTCAGTTCCAACTCCATGACACATAACAATGCATAAAATTGATCTATCTGAGCAACGTTCAATTCTACCTTCTCCATAAAAGCCTCCTTCCTGCAGCCAAATTACCTTCATCCAAAGGATTATGGAAAATTGTCTCTAACATCTGTTTGGTATGCCTTCATTATTTAATTCCACTTCCTCTAATTATTACATATATGTATATATAGGGGACTCTGCTGGCTTGTTGTTGTTAAGTGTCATCGAGCCAAGTATGACTGATAGAGACCATGTGAACAACAGAGCTAAACCCTGTTCTATCCTGTGCCATCCTCACACTTCCTGACACACTCGTGCCCATTACAGCAGTCATCATGTCATTCCACCTGGTTGAGGGTCTTCCTCTCCTTCCCCAAAACTCCGCCATTCCCAGCATCAGGTCCATCTCCAAGTAATAGACCCTCCTAACAACATGTCCAAAGTATGTGAGATAAAGGTTTATTGTCCTCGCCTCCAGAGAGCACTCTAGCTGCATCATCTCCAAGACATATTTGTTTGCACTTTTGATTGTCCATGGGATGTTCAGTGCTCTTCTCCAACACACACCTCAAAGGCATCAATTCTTCTCCTGCTCCATCCTTAGTCATTGTCCAGAGCATCATAAGTGATCAGAAAGACCATGGCCTGAATCAGATGAACTTTAGTCCTCAAACTGACATCACTGCTCTTCAGTAATTTGGAACAAAGACAAATACCGTATAAAACCATTATTGTAGAATGCGTATAAGGATCCAAGGGGGGTGGGTGAGGGTAGAAGCAGAGCAATGAGGATGTGTGTGTGTGTGTGTGTGTGTGTGTGTGATTAATCATGAAGTTGTACAATTTGATGGGGGGGTGAGGGAAACTGCAAGAATCTGTTCTGAAAAGCAATGAATTTGAATTTTGTAAATATACTAGTATTAAAAAAAAAATTAAAGAGGTATCTGACTGCAGACTTTCCTGGTACAATATATCTACTGCTGACTGCTGGTACCAAAGGTATTAACTGTAGTTCCAAAATGAAGTTGTTGACAGTTTCAATCTTTTCTGCATCTATCATGATGTTGCCTGCTAGCCCAGAGATAAGGAATTGCACTGCCAATGCAAAAGTATGAGGACTGAATCTACCAGTTGCTCTGTGGGAGAAAAATGAATAATCTCCTCCCAAGTCATTTATTGCCTCTGAAAACCCATAGGAGATATAGTCACCTATGGGTCTCAGGAATGGTCAGCTGGGAGTCAGTTCTGATTTGCCAGCAGTGAGAGCGATATGTATAAATTGTTTGGTGCTCTCATTCAAGGTTGACTATAGATTCTTTAAAGGCAAGACTTTTATCTAGCATCTGTGTTCTCTCACCTTGATTTGCACAAGTGACATAACAAATAGATATTCAAGAAACAAAAACAGTCCCTACTCTGGTGGCCTAGTGGCAAGAAGCTGATCAAGAAGGCATGCAGTTCGAGGCCACCAGCTGCTCTGCGGGAGAGGACAGGCAAACTCCTCCCATGTGATTAACTGCCTCTTAAAACCCATCAGACGGTCAGCTACAGGTTGGTTCCAACTCTATATGGTACTACTACACACACAGATTTTTTTTTTAGGTAATTTTTCATGATGCCCTCCCTGTTCCCAGTGAAGTCTATTTCCTGGAACTTAAATTGGTATGAAGTCCCCTAAAGGATGCTTGGGCTCCTACTTGTGACTGTTCAACCCAGTTGGTCATTGCAGGGGGCTTGCTAAGTTCATCTTTTGGGAGGAGCTTAAATTCTCAGGTGCTGACATTTTATTTACAATTCCAACTCCCCATGGAAGTCCTATTTCTACCTCAGGGTTTGCAGAACTAAGGAGATCCAGCAGAAGCACAAGCCTATAGTTAACTCTACCTCAGGCAAGAAAACTTTTTCTCCATCCTTCGGAAAACAACTTTAAGTCTGAGACGGCAGAGGAGTAAGAGATATTAACCAGACAAAAACCATAAAACTCTTCACATTCTAGGAAAAAGGCTCTCCTGAGAGGTATTAGGAAAAAAATGTGTGCCTGTCTCTGAAGTATGAAGATGTCTGGGAGACAAGGACTCTCTAAAAGATATGTCAGGGTAAAATGTAGGCAAAGCTTTTCAGAACCAAGATTGTAGACTGCCCGCCATTCAGACCTGCTCTTCTGAAAGGAGTCAGAGAACTCTGGCGTGAGGCAGTGAGGGCTGCCCCCTAATCCACCCACCACCAAAATGTCTTGCCCAGTTCACACGCTTCTGACTTTCTCATACTGTACCTTAAAAAAACCCAGACTTTTATTTCTTTATTTTTAAATACACAGAAAAAATAAAGCGTTTCCACATAATCCTCTCCCCTGCATACAATTCCCTATTATTATCCTCTTACATTAGTGTAACAGATTTGTTACGACTGATGAACTAATACTGATATATTCCCTGAAGTACATAGCTTACATTAGGGATCACTCTGTTCCGCAGCCCTCTGAGTTTCGATAAATGCATAATGTCACATGGCCACCAGTACAGTAACACGAGGAATAGCTTCACTGCCTGGGCTCCACATAGTCGTCCCTCCCTGCTCTCTGAACCTCTAAGAACCATTGATCTTTTTATTTTCTTAAAGTTTTGGCTTTTCCAGAACTTCATATAGTTCGAGTCAAAGTATGATTCTTTTTCAGACTAGTTTCTTACACTTAGTAATATGCATTTAAGGTTTTAGAGTGTTTAGTTTTGTTTTCTGTAACTTTCTTTAGTCTAGGAACCAAGGCTAAAGAAGAATCTGCAAACTAAAATACTATGGGTACCTTGCTGTGTACCATCACATCAGAAATGACCCACACATGGCCCTCCAGGGTTTTCAGATACTGTCAACTGCACAGGAAGTCTATCTGCTTCCCACAGAAGAGCTGGGAGATTTGAACTCAGCACTTTTGGGCTGGAATTGCAACTAAGCCGCCAGAGCTCCCCAGGTCTCATATCTCTAAGCCCTGACACATCAAAACCATCTTTTAGCAAATGAATCATTTGCTACTGTCATTCAGAATGCCCTTTGGATAGAAGCTCAGATGTTCCATGCCAAGGAATATTAATAATATTCTTTGGGTAGCTGAGTGCTGGTACAACCACAGATTTTCTTGGCTTCCTCCCTAGAAAAGTGTGGTTCCAGCTCTCCATCCGTTTATCCTTATTATAATAGCACCAGGGGCCAAGATCAGACATGGCTTTCATGTCAGATCTCAAGGCAGATAAGTACATTTCCTTGTCTGAAGTCGTTATGATTTCTCTAGAAGGGATTTCAAAATTCACATCTCAGAGCTTACATTTCCTTGGCAAACATTACCCCTGAGGCTTGCTTTGTTTTTCTTCATGTTTGCAACTGAAGGCAACTCCAATGTGACCTTCCTCTGCCTGTATCTCCACCTCCGCCAAACACAGGATTTGCAGTTAATGTTGCAACTTAAATCTTCAAACCTTACTACAGGGGCCCTCTTGTAGGTTCCTTGAAGGGCTCACTAACAAAAGGCCCCAGGAACCACCAAGTAGCTTCTTACCTTTTTCCTCCTCTGGCCACTGTTGGTGATCTTGTCTGGAGTGACGCCGAGGTCGGCCAGCACCTTGGCAATTCCTCTGGCATCCACCCCACAGTTGGGGGCAACGTTGGTCTCACACCGCCGGTGAACATTCATCTTGCAGACTGCGAGAAATATGGAGGAGAAACTTCCAGATACTCATGCTCTCAGATATCACCTTATCTTACCAACTATAAACATAATATAAGCTTCCTTAATAATATTTGGTAAAGACAGAAAAATATCAGAAGAAAAAGAAAAAGTATCCATCATCTCACCACTCAAAGAAAATGATCTCCCCGAACTCCATTGGAGGTAACCGAGACCAACTTTGCAGTTACTCCCTTCTAGTCATTTTTTCTATGTATATTGAATATGGATAAAGAAATGCCACACTCACAGTTCCTCTCAGGTGTGGAATCACCTGCAGAAGGCAATCTAGCCTTTGTTCTTGGCTTTGTCCAATTGTTTCAATACCTGAGGCTACTTAATAGGGGGTGACTAGACCAGGAAGGGTCATCGGGGAGCCCAGTGCTAACATCTCAAGAGACATGATTCAGCCTACCATAAGGTGAGTAGCATCAGCAAGAGCCCCAAAGCCTGGGGCTCACGTGAACTTCCTGGTTGGAAAACTCAGAACCTCCGTTCTATGACCCTTCCAAATCTCACCCTGTATGTCTGCTGGCTTGTGTCTTTCTGGCTCTAACAAAACTGTAGTCCTGAGTATGACATACTCTGAAATTCTAAGTGATTCCACTGAATTTGCAAACTTCCAGGGCCAGTGACAGTCAGCAGGGCCTGGTATGTGCCTGTTTGGAAAGTTAAAGGAAGTTATCTTTCTAATGTGTGAGTTCTGACCTAGCTCCATTTGGCTTAGGTTTGAGATATGTTTCATGGATAACACTTCTGAAAGATGGTAGCTGTCCAGTTTTAAGATCTGAGCTAGCCTCGGCTGCTGGAGTTGGAGAGAGAGGATGTATTAAGCTGGTGACAAAGACTGAGAATTAGAATGGACTGGATTAGTTTCCCTATTTGGGGGACTGGATTTAGAATGATCCCTAATTTGCAGTTAGCAATGAAGGTGGGCTTTACTCACCATGCCCCTGCCTAATACAAGTGTAGAACATAGGCCAACTTGGTTTATTTAAAGAGATTTAATTTAGGTTCTATCCCTAAATCAGTCCCCTCCCATTGGACTACTCTGTTACAGTATGAACAATCACAGAGGGGAATGCCCAGGATGGAGCCTGTCAAGATACATATCTGAGAACCAGCAAACAGAATAAGGTGACTTCAAGGCTTCCTTTAGATGTAAAATCCCATTTCAAAAGAACAAAACCTTGCATATCTTTGTGCACCCATATGACTTACCCATACAACTAAGTTGTCTTGGTAGAGCATCAAAGGTAAAAATAGAAACTGTTCGTGGAAAGAGATCAGGCAAGAGAGGCTAGACCTCCCTTTTGCCTTAGATAACCTGGTCACTTGCCTTAAGGGAAGAATAGCACAGACTCCCACCCCAGGCTTGAAAAAGTTCAGCTGAGCTGCTGAGTCCAAGCAGTCAAACAGGCCAAAGGCTAGGGAATGGCTTGGGATAGGGGAGTGAGGGAAGGGGCAGAGAGCTTTCTTAGACAATAGAAACAAGCAAACTTCACCACAACATGTTATGGTGCTGACTCTAGGGACTGAAATCAGTAACAACTGCCTGAAATTCCTCCTTGACAGTAAAGCTGAGAATCATGAGATTGTATATGTCAGGCGCCACATTGTGCTCTGGATTCTCCATTCTCCTCTTAACAACAGGAACCATTTATCACCACATTCACCTTATGTACGTGTGCTCCTGCTCAATGACCCCATGAAAGCCTTCTCTCTGACTCATCTTGTAATGACAAGAGAAAATAAAGGAGCCATAGATACATTATTTAGCCACTGGTGCCCTCTGGTGTTGAAACACCAGAGCTGCCCATCCAACAAAATGGAATCTAAAAAACAGCTTTAAAGTCTTTATCATTAAAAAAGAGGGTAGGGGGTAGGGAGTAGGGACAAAACAACTTTGCCATTTCTTAGGGAAAGCTTTAAATTTTTTAGAAGTGGTTATGGTAGGCTTTATTCAAAGATAATATAAGAAATCCTTAGGTTACAAATGCAATTCATTCATGCATCTTCCCCCCCCATTTTAATTTGACATACTTTTAAAATCAATTTCCTTTTATTTGTTATTTGTGGTTTTTTTATGAAAACTGTGTTTTGTATAATCATTCACATACATTGTGTCTTACAAAATTAATCACTATTAGATTTGGGCCCACTTTTCAGATCCCTTCTGGATCTTTTCTAATTCATCCTTTCCCTCACACTAACATATGCAATTAAATGGATGACATGAGATAGTGGCTTTGACATGCTTTGAAAAGTCTGGAAATGAGAAGCAAACCAAAACAACTATGAGATATCATCTCACCCCAGTAAGAGCAGCAAAATTTAGCACAACAGCAAACAACAATTGCTGGTGAGGTTGTGGAGATATTGGAACCCTTATTCACTGTTGGTGGGAGTGTAAAATGGCGCAACCACTATGGAAGGATTTATGGCGCTTTCTCAAAAAGTTGCAAATAGAAATACCATTTGACCCAGCAATTCTACCACTAGGAATATACCCTAAAGAAACCGTAACTGTCACCCAAGTAGTTATATGTACACCTATGTTTATTGCGGCTTTGTTCACAATACCAAAGGGTTGGAAACAACCCAAGTGACCATCAACAAACGAATGGATAGAGAAGCTGTGGTGGAATACTATGCTGCATTGAAAAACAAGGAACTCATGAAATATTATATAAAATGGTTGACCATGAAGGGCATTATGCTGAGTGAAATATCTCAGTCCCAAAAAACACAAATACTGCATAGTGCCAGTGTTACAGAACAGGACTGTCATGGGGGCTGGGGGAAACTAAGAAAAAAAGAGATAAATAATCTACACCACATTGAAACAGATGAGGGAGAGAATTGTATAAAAGGAATATATAATTAGGTATTATTGGCATGGCAAGAGTCCGGAATAAGAGCTGCTTAGTAAATTGGTCTGGGGGAGTGGAGGACCTATATAACAATGAAAGAACTGTTTTACCTAAAGAAAAGTGATGGGGGGAGGGGTGGGGAGCAGGGAGGAAAATGTACAACAATGAATGATTGGAAAATCAAGTTCTGTATAAACTTGCATTAAAATCTCGATTTTTAAAAAAAGAAAAGTCTGAAGATGTGAGGGCAAAGCTCTACAAGGAAAGAGAATTTAAGACATTATCAGGAGAGCACACTTGAGATGCTGGTGGGTGATACTGACAGGGCATGGGGAAGTTAAAGAAACTAGACATGTCATCTGGTTCATTCACATGGAAGTCTGTGTGGCGGAGCTGATTCTGATTCATGGTGGCCCATGTGCATCAAAGCAGAGTTGCTCCCAGGATTGCCAAGGCCTGATCTTCTGTGGTGTGGATTCTGATTGATTGTGCCATGTGTGTTAAAACAGAGTTGTGCCCAGGATCGCCAAGGCCTGATCTTGTGCAAGCAGGTTGCCAGTCCTTTCTTTTGAAATGTCTGAGGAGACGGGACCTCAAATCATTCAGTCAGTACGTCAGCACTTAGTCATTTGCACCAGGAACTCCTCAGGTATATTAACATGGGCCGTTCCAATCTCCGCCACTTCTCACTAAAGGACAAGGGTCATGTGCATTCAACTGCCTAGCCCTTGCTGGTTTTTCCTCAGTTTTTCTTTCAAAGTTGGCTTTTTTCCCCCCTTCTGTTTTACAAATAACATCACTATTCCAAAACTTTTCCATCACCTGAAACAGAAACTCTGGACCCTGTAAGTAATAATTCAGCTTAGTAGCAAAGGACAAATAATATGGAACGAGTGTAAGTGTGTGCTCTATGCCTGTGTGTAAGTGTTCCTATAGTAAGAATGTATGAAAAGGGCTGTGAAAACTCCGGGCAAAGTGTCAACAGCAGTTCAGTCTCTGGGGATGGAAATGCAGAGACAGAAGGGCATTAATCCACACAGACACAGAGATGCACACAAACTTAGTCTTCCTTGAACATTTGAGAGTGAGAATAGTCACATAACACTTGTGTGTTTTGTTCTGATTTCCAAAAATTCAATTACAAGTTGAAGTTATGACAAGGGTTACAGTTGGTTTTAAAAATGGTAAAAGACTGACATTTTCAGAAGGAAGGAGAAAAAAAAAGTCCTATCTCATCTCATATGTTTTTCAGAAAGGGAGCTCTGGTGGTGCAGACCTTCGGGAGCTGCACTGCTAAACCAGAGCCTGAGCTTCTCCACGATTCGAATCTACCAGCTCCTCTAATGGCGAAAGCTGGCAGTCTCCTCCCCTGCGATTTACAGCCTCAGAAAACACTGAAGGGTCAGCCGTGAGTCAGTGCTGACTTGATGACAATGAGTTTATTGTCTTTAAGGTTTTTAAAACACCCACACTACTTTTAAAAAGAGAGAGGGAGCAAGAAGAAGGAAAAATAGAACTTTCTTTTCCTTTTCTCCTTGCAGTCCCAGATCCTCAGTCACCCCAGGAGGTGGATGGCTGAGATCATTACGTCCATATTGTTCTGAGATGGTAGGTGGACTTGTAGCCTTTGTTTGCTTACTTGTTTGATTTGGGGAGTTTGTTTTTCTTTTTAAGAAATAAGAAAAGAAAGGAAGTAAAAGGAATCCATTCATGTGAATCTTTGACTAGGCAGCAGTCCTGATTCCAGCGTGTGACAGCCAGAGACAAGGCCCTCTAGCTTTCTCTCCCTTGATTCCTGGAAGCAGTGATGGTACAACCTCTGGTTCTGGGTCACGCAGCCCTGCGAAGGGCTTTAGGTAGAGGGTCATTCTGAGGGGCTACTCCCAACACTCCTGAGAGAGACCAAGAGCCTGAGAGGGTCTTCCTCCAAATCTACAGAGCAGGCCTCCCTGAGTGAACTCCCAGCATGGCTGCCCCTGCCGCAGGCTAAAGGCCTGGAATGAGATGCAATCAGAGTGTGGTGTAGAGAGGCGGGGCAGGCCCACCTCAGATAGGGTGAGGAAAACCAGGCCACAGCTAGCCCTGCAGGACAGACAGTCAACTGGTGAACAGGCCTGGCTTTGCTGTTAAATTGATTCTCAGCACGAATGGCTCCGGGGCTCCTGTGTGTGCTGGACGTGAGCATCAGCAGAGGAAAATTAGGGTCAGAGAGCAGGCCACAGGGCAGGTGAGGACATCATATCTTGTTTAGAGGTTGGAATGTAAAACCGTAAGCTATGGTGAAAGGGAAATGCTGAGTATGAAAGACAAATACAACTTAGGTGAGACTGGACATCAGGCAGGTTGCCTGTGAGTCTGCAGCCATGAGAGGAAGGCAGGAGTGTTCTGATAGAGTGAGGAATGAGAGCATTCAAATACCTCAGAGACTCAAGGAAGCTAGGATTTGAAACTCTGAGGTGAACTTGTAGATGGCTGAACCTTGGTCAAGGTGTACAGACAGAACCCAGTCAGCAGGGAAGATCCAGAGACTCAAGGGGCATTTGAGTCATTAGAGAAAAGAAAGAGATCATTTGTCTCAGAGCCAGGGTTTCTCTGCCTCTAAGTGAGGAGATAGGTTACCCAGGAACAGCCTGGAAGCAACTCCCAGGTTCTGATCCTTCCTCCGAATAAGTCCAAGGGCAGAGGTGGGTCTTCTGCAAGCTTGATGGCTTTGTAACATGGGTAAACCCAACAATGGGTCTTAGGTGGCTTGGACTATTTTAGACTAAAGGCAAAGTGACTAGGACAAACTCAGAGGTCTTCCCTTGTCGATCTAAACAATTGAGAAATCAGTCAACAAAAAAATATTATGTATCACAAAAAATCAGTTAGCAAGAATCTTATAGGTCACACGGTTTTACAATTGCAACTGCTTATGAGGATGGTGGGGGATGGGCAGTAGTGCATTTAGTGTTGCCGTGTTGGAAGCAGGAGTCGCATCCACTTCCTAAGTAACATGCCTCCGGAAACTTTATGGACTTTGATAATGTCGATAGTTGCAGAGGGGCTTTCAGGCCTTTTGTTCATAGGGTCGCTATGAGTCCTGCATAACTTGAAGCCAATCACCAACAACAACAATGTTGCAAGGAGTCAGGAGTCAGCTCCAATAGCTAGCAGATGAATTAAAAATAGATAAAGTCACAGCCCAGCCAACCACACATCAAGACCTCCTGGTCATGATCTAGCAAAGGGCAGTGCCTATTAAGTTCTCCCTCCCAAGTTTAAAAAGTTTAAACTCCATCTTCAACCTTGCACAAATGACTAAGTCTTGTTTCTTTAACTCATCAAAACAGCAGAACTTCACTGTCATTAGGACAGGAGCAAAATGAAAATTACCAAGTCTCCATGGCAGAGGAAGAGGAATAAGAAAATAAAGCATCGTCCCGGGAGTCCTAAGGTTTGAAGAACGTTGGTCTTCTAGCGTCTATGTGGCACACCTCACAGGACATGTATCCTCACTCTCTCCACGTTTCACATGAGCTGGTGTGAGTGGGAGTAGTTCCTGCCAAACAAGAGCCTCACTGTCCCTCAGTTTTGCTTTATTTTAAGGTCATCTAGGGACCCCTATGGTCCAAGCACCAATGTCTGCATTGTCTAGGCTGCTTTCTTGAAATATCAATAGTTATGACATGACATTTGTATCTTCATTTGTATTCCCTTGATAGATCAATCATTAATATAGTTACTAAAAACCCAGACATCAACTCATCAGGGTGTCATGCTAAGCAGGCTCTGTGCTTCCTGGCAACCACAATTATCTTTCCAAAACCCAGCACTCCTCTGCTAATAACCTGCCAGGTCCTTCCTCATTTCCTTATTCTTCTATTGTTTAAATGCTATTGAATGCTAATGAGGGCTTCAAGCAAGACTTGCTCCATTTACAGAGCAAATGCTAGAATTATGCTGAGTGAGCTAACTCAGTGCATTAAGGACAAATAGTGTGTAAGACCAATACTGTAAAAACAGAAGGATAACTAGTAAAACATGTATGAGATCCCAAGGAAGGCAGAAGTGGGAACTCAGGGGTGAGGATGGGCCAGGGCAAAACCACAGGGTTGCACAATTTGGTGTGTGGGGGGAGGGGTAAAGGAAATAGGAAGCATCCACTGGGGACCTGAAAAGACAAGGTAATAGTGGGCATAGGACAATGGTGATTAATTTTATAAAACATAATGAAATGGAATGATTGTATGAAACAATGTGAATGAAGAATAGTATGAAACACAATGTATATGAAGTATGTAAGCAACCAATACAAAATAAAATTAAGTTAACCTCTGGGGCTCTCACCTCCTAGGTGTTGAGAAGGGCATGCGAGATGCCAGATGTACCCAAACAGTCAAGATCCTCTCCAACTCCAGTAACATTATTTCTAACCTCCCTCACCTCTTCATGCCTTCCAAATTCCTCCTGCTCCCCTCAACACCAGAAAGGACCTCCTACTTCAGAAAAGACCTCACAGGTGCAAAACGTATGGGATCCTTCCACTTGTTCTCTCCCCTGGATTCCTACTCCTCACGTGGGAAATGGATTTGCATGGAGACCAAGGCTTGGCCTATACTCCTTCCTGGAATGAAGTCTCACCAAGAAAATCCCAAAGGGATCAATAATTTCCTTCCTGCCTCTCCTGGCTCATCCATGTTTCCTTTTCTGTTTTTTTCCTAACTTCACATGACACTCTAAAAATAGCTCCTATTCTAAAAAGAAGGAAAACTTCCTCAACTCTGTGTCTCTCTTTATCTTAGCTCCTCCCTGACCTTCACAGTCAAGTTTTATTATAGTCAGAGAGAACAAAGAGATCTACACCGGCAGCAGAATTCAACAGGTTTTACAAGACCATTTTACACTATCCCTCTACCAAACTCCCCGTCTCTGTTCCCTAGCACCCTGCATTTGGTGTCAAATCTCTATTCCATCAAGGATAGAAAGTGTTCTGCCCGTCTTTCACTTATGGAAAAATTGGTGGCGGTGAACTGCCAGTCTTTGAGTTTGAAGCACTGCCTGACTATTGCTTAGATACTGACGAATCTCAAACCTAGATATCCACTTTCCCTTGAGTTTCAGTGACAATGTCCAACAGCTTACTGAACCACTCCATGTAAATGTCCCCAAAGCACCTCCAAGCTTGTATGTCTCAAACTCCACTCACCATCTTTGCCATCTACCACACCCTGTAGTCCCTGTAGCAATGAACAGCAACACTGTCTAGTGATCATGTACCGAGCTCCTCACATTCTGTGCTGTATCATCACACACTCAGAGTAAAGTCACAGGTGAGACAGCAGGAAACAGAGTCAATGTTCTTGAAGAGTACAGAGTCGCAATTTGGACAATATTTTGGAAATAGTAGTAGTGATGGTTGTACAATACTGTGAATGTAACCAATCCCATTAAAATATATACTTATAATGATTAAGATAAAAGATTTTATGTTTGATATAGTTTATAATTAAAATGAAGAGTCAAGATTCAAATCCTTTTTCTTTTGTTAACACATTGTATGATGTAATATGAATGAGTTATTTAGTCTCTGAGTCCCTCACTTGGAACATGGGGACAAAATCACCTATACCACTGGCTTCTGAAGCATATCAGTAAGCTATCTTACATGATGAGGTTCTAGCTCTTTCTAAGAATAAGCCCTACACTATTGATTATGATACAAAAGCACCAATTTATATCTATCACTAATTTTAGTCAGCCCTGGTGGCTTAGTGGTAAAGGAGCTGAGCTACCAACCCACAGCCACTCAGTTTGAGTCCATCAGACGTTCCAGGGCAGAAAGATGGGCACTCTCCTCCCGTATGATTTACTGCCTCTGAAGGATCCGCTAGGAGTCGGTTTTGCCATGATACCACACGACAACAATAACAACTAATTTTAGGGCCTAACTCCAAAAAATATTTCTTCCTTTGCACTCCTCAAGTTCCTTCTGGGCTTATTATACTCAGTGTCTTTTGCTAGTTAATCATGTTGATAAGTAGAGTCCTATCTGACTCATCATCATTGTTTCCTTCACAAACACTCCTGGGTGGAAGGCTGAACCCCCTGAGCAGAGATGCTAACTCAGGCCAGATCCAATCTGTAACTTAATCTCTGGGCTCCAAAAACAATGCTTTAAAATGAGGAGTGAAAAGGATTATGCACATTTGGGGACAGAGGCGTACCTTACCTTTACATTGCAAGCCCTGTCGCAAGAGGCCCCAGAGCAAAGACCCACAGTGGTCACAGAAGGTGGGGACCTTGTAGTTATGGATACCAAACTTGTGGGGCATGTTGACGCTGAACCGCTGGGAGCCCACCTGCAGGGAATGCAAAACAGAGTTATAGTCAGCTCCATGGTGCCCGTTCTACAGTGCATGTGACGGGAACACACACAGAACTTGTTCACCAGGAAAGCCACATCCTGGTAGGTGGCAGGCCCTGCCTTGGTTAGCAGCAACCCCAAGACTGAAGGTGAAGAATGTTCCTTCCACGGACTGTGCCCACTCTTTGCCATTTTCTGACACCAGTGTTTGCCATCTGGAGGCCAGCCCTTCTCCACCCAGCACCCTTCCAGGACTCCTCCAGCCTTTCCCCACACATGGCATTCAGCATTCAGGTTGCACCTCTTGATTGAGCCATTCACAAGATATGCCCATGGGCTTGCAACGGTGCTTTGTGTATGGATGTCTTAGTCACCCAGGCTTTCAGCACCTTTTAAGGCAGAAACAGCAGAGTGCCTTGGAAACAGCAGTTCTTCAATTAAGGTGGACAATGTTTATGGTAAAAATTGCTTATGTAAAGTGGTGGCCATTAAGGGTGCTACCGTGTCAGGGCTGACCACCTGCCACATGCCTTTGTCTCAATTAAGCCTCACCACACCATTATTATCCCTACAGATGGCGAGATTGGGACACAGTGAGAGCAAGAAACTTGCCCAGCATTTGATATGAATTCAAAGCCAAGCTTTTCAATCACCCTGATGCCATTTTTGGAGCTGTGATGTGAATTAAGTGCTAAGCTGGTGAGTGAAAAATCTGCAGTTTGAACACACATCTGGCTGTGCAGTGGGAAGCTGAAGAGGTCTGTGCCATTAAGGTACCACCTTGGAAACTCGAAGGAAGCTTGTTATGAGTTGGAATGCCCTTTTGGTTCAGGTACTTCCACTTACTAGTTTTTTAAAGAAGTAAAGAAAGGGGTCAGGAAGGAAGGTGAGGGAATGGGGAACAGGAGTCCAGCGATCTGACCAGCAGGTCTGGATGTGCAGGAACCATCTGTGAGGTCTCAGGTGATATCCTGGCTCATTCCTTTCTCAGGTTATCATCTGGCAAATGAGTCTTGTAGGCCCTGTCCTGTCAGTTCCTTGTACCCCTAGTTCTGTAAGGTTAGATAACAGTGGAAGAGGAGGACATACTATGTACTGCCCAGGAACCTGCAGAGGCTCACATCAATCTGCATCGACTAAGATCTGTGAGATCCTTTAGGGTACACCAAGCCCACTGTCCTGAGCACCTGCTCGCCGTTGTGGTGTTAGTTCCACCTAAGGGCCAGTCTTCGTTGCAGTTCTGAGGCTGTAAATCTGAAACAGACATAGACTGCCTCAAGGATCTCCCGTGGAGCAGCTGGGGAATTTGAACCATCAACCTTTCAGTTAGCAGCCTAACACATGACACACTACACCACCAACCTTCCTGTTCTGAACATAAATACACACATACCTGTCATTCTCCTGAAAAGTTTGCCACCATACCCCCAAATCTATAGAGGGTACCACCACTCTCCCAATCTCTCTATGAAGAGAAACCTAGGTTCCCTGGTGACTTTTTTTTTTTTTTCTTATTTACCTTATTCCTAGAAACTTCCTGAATAGTCATCCTGGCACTGCCCCCTCAGATGAAGACACAGGACAGCGAGGTGTCTAAGGCATTGGCTCAGGGACTGAATGTGGGCCTTGCACAAACACCTCATGGGACTTGGGGCAGGTTTCTGTCCTCGCTCTGCTGCTCATCTTGTGGTTGTAAAATGAGAACAATAATAACACTTACTTCATTATGATTCTGAGATTAATTAAGTACATTAAAGTGTTTAAATGTATGCTAACTTATCAGTACATAGTAAATGTCGATTATTATTATTGTGGCTATTTTCCCTTCCTGGTGACTTCGTGGTATGGAATTACGCTGCCAACACAAAGGTACGTGGTTCTAATACATCAGCTGCTCCATGAGAGAAAGATGGGCAATCTGCAGTGTGATTTATTGCCCTTAACAACTAGCCAGAGGGCCAGCTATGGGTCAGTTCTGACTTGATAGTACACAACAACGACAGCAACAAAGCATTTCTTGAGGGAGCTCTGGTGGCCTAGTTGATAAAGACTTGCACTACCAGCCCAAAGGCACGCGGTTCAAATGCAATAGCTACTCCATGGGAGAAAGATGGGCAATCTCTTCCCACACGAGTTACAGCCTCTGAAAACCCACTGGAGGGTCAGTTACGAGCCAGTTCTGACTCTGGCACAAAACAAAAAGCAGCAGCATTCTTTAGAGTGGCAAAATCCATTCTCTTAGTACCTCATAAAATAAGCTTTCTGGTTTGGTGTGGTGTTTCTGACACTGTTTATGAGCTGCCAGGAACCATTCACACATCGATTAGCCACTTCTAGTGATTCATTTTGGGAGCTCTGGTGGTCTAGTGGCAAGAAGCTGAACTGCAGTCCCAAAAGCATGTGGTTCGAGGCCAGCAGCTGCTCTGCAGGAGAAAGATGGGCAATCTCCTCCTGTGGGATTAGGATCAGCTATGGGTCGGTTCCAACTCTGTGGTACACAACAACAGTGTTGCAATGAGGTAATGCAATGAAAAATACCCCATTTTTCTCTGGGATCACAGTGCTCTGGGCATAATATCCACAGAGATGAACCTGAGTTGGAGCCATAGCCCTTCTGTGGATAGTGCTACATACTTCCTTGGTTTTTCAGCAACATAATAAGGGAGACAGGGTGTCAGAAGTACTGCAGAAGAGGCAGTGAAGGGGGGACGGCAGTTAAGGGGCGGTGGAGGGGAGTGCCCAGAGTGTCAGTGGTATGAGGAGTTACCTCGTCGGGAGCCTCATGCTTCTTCAATCCAGCGCATTTGGTGATTATGAGCTCATGGCACCGCTTGTGGACAACACACGTGCAAACTGCAAACAGCAGAAACGGGAAAGCTGAACAACAGGTGGGCAAGACAGCCTCTATCCCCCCTGTGTGAGGAGAGGGTCCTCATCATCGTCATGTGAAATCGCAATGCCCACCCCTGCCCTCAGGCCATCTACACAGTTCTTTCAAAGCACGATGCGTTCAGAGACAGTTTCCTAGAACATTTATGTTTAAAAGGCACTGCAGCTTCAGGGACACCATCCAATGTCCCTGCTCTGCCATGCCCAGGTCGCCGGACAGTTGTCCTGGCGCTGTCAGGGAGCACTGTCGTCATGGGCCTCACAGCCCTCTGGTGTTCCACCAGCACTGTGCCAGGTGGGGCAGAGAGGTGAGCAGCAGGTGAATAGGGGCCTTAGGGCACAGGAGCTCTGCGCTCGCCTTTCTACTCAAGCTCTTCCTTCACAAAACTTTGACTTTTCTGTTTCATTTCCTATCTACCAAGCAGTGGTACGCAGATTGTCTTTAATGTCCTAGGACATGGTGGGCATGGCTTGACTGAGGCGGTCAGCCACTGTCTGCACAGGAACACAGTGATTTCCCCAAGACCCCACTCAGCCTTTCCCAAGTTACACAGAGTGGGGTGAGGAGACAGCTGCCTCCCAGCTCCAACCACACGAAGCCTCACCAGGATCATATCCCACTTCCGCCCTCCAACTTGGTACAGCTTAACCTTGCATATGCAGTCAAGTAACTGGAAAAACTTCAAAAGAGCTTACATTTTTAAGAACTAATGACTCCACAGTAGAGGTGGAAAAAGAAGAATCTGTGAAGATCATGCAGGGATACTGAGCAAATTAATGTTTTGAGGTAAACTCTCCAGCAAGTGAGGGTGTAAGTGAGCAGATGGGACACACAACGTCCAGCTCACAACCAAGTGGGCTTCAGAAGAGCCTCTCATTGAACCACTGAGTTTGCTAGGAAAAATGAAAATTCTGCCTGTTTCAACCAGCATACAAACAGCTAGGTGGGCTAGGGACTGAGGCCACAGGGACACTTGGAGATAGATGGTGTACACAAGGGAGACACATCTAAGTAGGGAGAGTAGCCAAGCAGGGATAAAGAAGAAAAGGGACACACTGCTTGGAAGAGAACATTGGGAACAAGCCAGACAGACTCTCCAAATACAAGCAGCCCCAGTCCCTTATGGCTGCATACTTGGGATCTGGCTCGCTCTTTATACTTCCAACAATTTAGATCATACAATGCCTCTTACCTTGACACTGGTATCCCTGCTTTCCTATGACACCCCTGAAAAGAAGAATAGAGCCCTTTAGGAAAATGAAGTTGACTAGGTGAAAAGCAAAGCCCTGAACGCCTTCAACTCAGGCCACCAGCCACATAGAGGACCACGAATCCCCCTCCCAGTGTGTGTGTCTCTGTCTCTGTCTCTCTCTCTCTCTCAAAGCCATGGAGAGCAGGGCCAGCCTACAGAGTTAAGCAGCGATCTGGCCACTGTGAAGGCTTCATTTCCTATATAAACAGCCACCTCAATGCAGGCAGGAGTGTTCTGGAGAACCATCAACTACCCTGCTTGCTCCCCACAGACCTCCATCAGTGGGATGAAAGCCCTTTCTCATAGGTAGATGACCCTGCCTCACCTCCCAGCCCCAGGCCTGCTCTGTGGGTTCCCAAACACTCCTCCTCATTCACAACACATTCAAATGTACAGACCTGTGCTCTCTTCGTGACCACTGGTATGTTTAGGTACATTATCGTAGCTGCTGAGGTGACTGATCACATTAAGAGTCTCCCTTATCTTGGCCAACACTTTACCAAATGTGCTGAGAAGGGCAGCTGCTGGCACATCCTCTGGACTTCCAGACACAGGTGTTTGTCTTACAATTTGGATGAGGGTCTCTGTGAGAGTTTATTTTGTGGCCCGAATAAGAGTTCTGCTGGGGCAGGGCCAAGGGTCAATACTAACCCCGATACACCAACCCACTCGGCATTCAGCCCGCACGCAGTGCACTGACAATGGCTGCTTAGGGAGCCTGCCATTTCCAGAGCAGGTGGTGAAGCCACCAACTGTTCAGGCTACACCTCAGGAACCCTAAAGCCCCGTGAGGCTAGATGCAGGCTTACAGGACACCTGAATCCAGACTAGCATTTCAGCTTCAATCACTCAGTTCATGACCAAAGTACAGAAAATGGAATATGAAGGATTGAGTCAGCACAGGACTGAGTGTGAGAACAGGGTTTCATGTACACATCAGCCAGGTTGATCCTGCTCTGAGCTGAGATGCCTCAGACATACACACCAGCCTCAGAGACTGCTGACAAGACAAGGCACTGCTGGACACAGCAGGCCTCAACAGGCCTCAGAGTCCCATGTGCACGCTTCCTGCTGCGTTACCATTAAAGCTTGGCCTCACTGGCTCTCCTCTGCCTGATCCAGCAGTGTTGTCAAACCTCCCCCTCAGTGCCAAAGAGCTTCCCAGAAAGGCTAGTGAGGTATCAGGAGAAGCCTAACTTTTAAGTCCGACTAGCCTGGGCTGGAACCACTTGTGTCTGATACTTCTAGTGAAAGACTGCAAGGAAGACCCTTCTAGGTTTTTATTGGGGTTTGGATGGAAGTTTGCACCGCAAATTAGTTTTCTGTTAAATGATATCTACACATTTGTGTCACTGGTTGCAGTCCCTTCAATGTCACGCCATCTTCCCACTTCCTCCTTGAGTTCCCCATTTCCATTCGTCTTTATTTCCTACCCCTCTTTGCTTTCTACATTGTGTTGGACCTTCTTTTAATTTCTGAGCCTCGGTTTTGTCAACAGGGCTTAAGAGACATAGTTTACAGGACAGGTTACAGGATGGTGGGAAGGTGTCACTATTCATTTCAGGTGCTTAGAAGAAAACGAAGCCCCTTGTGATCACTTCATGAAGCCCACCCTCCCCAACCCCCCAAGGCCTCTCCTCCACCCGAACACGCCTTTCTACCTGTCTCTGCTTCTCAAAATCCTCCTGGTGCACTCTCTTGTGTTAACCTACTCTCCTGGAAATCTTCCACCTTAACAGAACTATGCTATGCTCCGACCCCTTCTAAAAGCAGCTTTGTAGGATGAAAACAGTCAGTCAAGAATCTTTTTAAAATTATATTATAGAAAATTCCAAATGTATACAAAAGTAGAAAAACCAATATACAGGATCCTCATGTACTCAACAAGTTGTTGTTATGTGTCGTCAAGTCACCTGCAACTCTTAGCAACCCTATGCACAACAGCCCTAAACCTTGTTCTACCCTGTGCCAATCTTATTGTCTCTGACACACCTAACCCCATTACCCCAATCACTGAACCAATCCATCTCATTGAGGGTCTTCCTCTTCTGCGCTGTCCCTCCACCTCCCAAGCATGGCATCCTTCTCCAAGGACTGGTCCCTCCTTGGAACACGCCCAAAGTATGTCAAATGAAGCTTCAGAATTCTTGCCTCCAAGAAGCAGTCTGGTTTAACCCTCTCCAAGATGAAGCTGTTTGTTCTCCTAGCAGTCCACGGTATATTCAACATTTTTCTCCAACACCACAACTCAAAGGCATCAATTCTCCTTCTATCATCCCTAGTCATTATCCAGCTCTCTCTGATGCATAGCAAATGACTGCAGAGACCATGGCCTGTATCAGGTGCACCTTAGTTTCCAGACGGACATCGTGGCTCTTCAGTACTTTGGAGAGGTTTCTGATAATTGACTTCCCCAACTCAATATGTCCTTTAATTTCCTGGCTGATGGTGTCAAGAGTGTTGCTTGTGGAGCCAAGCAAACTGAAGCTATTAACAGTCTCACTCTCTTCACCATCCATCATGATGCTGCCAATTGGCCCAATGGTGAGATCCTTAATTTTCTTGATATTGAGATTCAATCCATATTGAAGGCTGCAGTCCTTGACCTTCTGCAGCAAGTGCTTCAGGTCCACCTCAGTTTCAGCAAGCAGGGTTGTGTCATCTGCATAATACAGTTTGTTGATGAGTCTTCCTTCAATCCTGATGCCACATTTCTCCTCATAGAGCCCAGTCTCCCGGTTAATCTGTTCTGCATATAGATTGAAAAGGTATGGAGGCAGAATATATCCCTGGCACACACCTTTTCAGTCTTACTTCGTCTCTACCCTTACCCCTCCCATCCCCTCAGATGTTTTTGTTTCGTTTTAAATAACTCTTAAGCATTATATTTCATCGGCAAATAATTCAACACATCTTTATATGCGACTTTTTTTTTAAAAGTAATTTTTTTTTAATTCAAGTTTTCTTCCTTTAACATGGTCCATTTTTTCTGTCACTAGTTTCAAGGACAAAGGCTTGTGTTTTCCTTCTTTGTCAGGTTTCCAGCTTTCCTAGATTTTATAATATAGTATAATGCAGAATAGATTATCCAGGAAGCTGGGCTCTGTGAGGAGGAATGTGGCATCAGGATTGGTGGAAGTTTCATCAACAAGCTGTATTACGCAGATGACATACCCCTGCTTGCTGAAACTGAGGAGGACCTGAAGCACTTGTTGCAGAAGGTCAAAGAATGCAGCCTTCAATATAGATTGAAGCTCTACATCAAGAAAACAAAGATTCTCACCACTGGGCCAACTGGCAGCATCATGATAGATGAAGAGATTGAGATTGTTAACAGCTTTAGTTTGCTTGGCCCCACAGTCAATACTCTTGGTACCAGCAGCCAGGAAATTAAAAAACATATTGTATTGGGAAAGTCTGCTATCATAGACCTCTCCAAAGTACTGAAGAGCAACAAAGTCAGTCTGGAGACTAAGGTGCACCTGACACAGGCCACAGTCTTTGTAATTACCTGTTATGCATCAGAAAGCTGGAGAATAACTAGGGATGATAGAAGGAGAATTGCTGCCTTTTAGCTGTGGTGCTGGAGGAGAGTATTGACTATACCATGGACTGCTAGGAGAACAAACAGGTTCATCCTAGAAAGAGTGAAACCAGGCTGCTCCTTGGAGGCAAGGATTCTGAAGCTTCGTCTGATACACTTGGACATGTTGCAAGGAAGGAGAGACCAGTCCTTGGAGAGGAACATCCTGGGTGGGAAGGTGGAGGGACAGCCCAAGAGATGAAGACCCTCGACGAGATGGATTGATTCAGTGACCGACGTAATGGGGGTAGGTGTGTCAGACAATAGGATACCGGATAGAGGAGGGTTTAGGGCTGTTGTACACAGGGTCACTATGAGTCACAGGAGACTCAACGGCACATAACAAACCGTTATTGGTAATAAAATCTCAATACTTTCAATAACTGTGATGCAGTATAATAACCTACAATGTAATCTTAAATTCAAAGTTATCAGGAATCATGGTTTCTTCTTTTCTTGTATTCTCTCGACCCAGCTCTTCATACAAACTAAGTTAGCCTTTCTGAAAAAGCCTTCTGAAATCAAAGAATTAAAGCACTCCAGCATTTTCCAAGTGTCTATTACCTTCGGCCTTTCCTGCCCCTGCTTCTTCACACAGAGAAGGGGAACTAGAAGTTTCTGGAGAGATACTCACCAGATGAAATCTCTGCAGTGGGAGCAGTAGGTGGGCTGTCGAAGGTAGGTGGCCATGAACTTGTGGCCATTGACTTGGTGGACCCTACGCCGGACGGCCCCCTGCCGCTTCCTTGGCCGCTGGCGCTCCCTGAACACACGCTCTTCATTGTCTTTAGGGGCTGCAGAGAATAAAAGCAGAGAAGAAAAGGGAGTGTTGGTTAATGCAAGGACCAAAGCAGTTGTTGTCCAGCAGACTCTGACCCTCTGTAGCTCCGGGATGGCTACAGAGTGACACTTCACTGGGCTTTCCATGGTTCATTTCTCAGAGCAAAGCAGGCTTTTCCCACAAGGTGCTTCTGGGTGGATTTCTGATCAGCACCTGAGTGCTTAACTATTTGCACCACCCAAGGACCTGAGTCGACTTCACCATCCTTAAAAATTACCTCTTGTGAGAAGACTCCTGCATCCTCAAGATGCGAGGTGGGGCTGGGTGGGAGGAGGCCTTCATGGCGAGGTTCAAGGAGCAGCCTCATTGTTCAGCACCAGAGAATGATGAGCATGCCATATGTGCACACACACACACACACACACACACACACACACACATTCACACTCTCACACACACACTCTCTCTCTCTCTCCAGAAGCATATGAGAAGTACTTAATTGCACAATTGCAGGTGATTTTATTTCCACTTCACATTTTTCACTATGTTTGGCATGTTTTACTCCTTTAACAAACAGTGGGGGTGGGGTGGATATATTGCCATTAAAAATATCTATTCAGTAGCCCTACTGCAATAAACTTACTCTACAAACATCTAACCTTAAAACCTCAGTGCTAGTTATACCAAGATGTGAATTCTCTGTCAAAGGTCTCCTTCACTTTTAGCTTCACCATGACCCATGTAAGCAGTAAACCAGTCCCTGGACACATCTAAGATGCAACTTCATTTATAACTAACTATACTGCTTTGATGCTGAAACATGGTATTTTCTATTAAAATAATGATTAGTCCCAGTCAGCCTTTCTGATGGAACACCACTGGACTGCAGATCCGTGTCCCCGAGGGCATAATTTCTCCGTTTTGTACAGAAATGACCACCAGCATTGAATCAAACACTCTAAAACTGTATTTGCATTGATTTAGTAGGGCAACAGAGCAACTGATTAATTCCATTCTACCTACTTCTAAAGACCATTCAGGGCTGTGATGGGGACCTGCTGCTTAAAGCTGGTGGGGACAGGGAGAGAGGGCAGTGTTAAGGATGAGTCCTATCAGTGTGTCTGTCCAGACTGAACTTCCTAGAACGTCACTGCTACTCCTATCAGGAAGCCTATCTGCAGAGCCTTTAAAATCAGGTGTCATGTCAAGGAAGCAAGGAAGCCCAGAAAAGGGAAGGGAGGCAGAGTCAATGCTCCAGTGAAACCAGAGGAAGAAGGGGTCAGACAGTGTCTGAGGAAGCACCTTGAGTCCACACCCTCTGGACAAAGATGCCTAGAGCTTTGAGGAAGGGGCCTCTCCACTTTGTGCTCTAGTGCAGCCTCACTTGCAGGCAGAGAAGGAAGGGGTCTATCAATGGAAAGCCACAGGTACCCTGGGGAATGTCCCTGCCGGGGCCTGGGAGGTCACTACTATAAACGGGGTCCTTCAGTATTCTCCAGGGGTGGGAAGAGCCTCCCATGGCAGGGATCCTATTCTCTCTCTCTCTCACACACACACACACACACACACTCTGTGTGTGTGTGTGTGTGCAGTGTTATGAGTGTGAAAGAAAGAGATATATGAGATATATATATAGATAGAGATATATAGATAGATATAGATAGAGAGATAGATGATAGATAGATAGATAGATAGATATAAAGATAGAGATAGAAATAGAGATATGGCATGTGAAATCTTGACATACCCCTACTATACCATTTAAGACCTAATACAGCAGGAAATTTGTTTTGAAATGGTATTGGTAAGGTAAAGCTGATTTATTCATGCACTGCTACAATGTAAATTGACACAGCATCTTCAGAAAGCAATGTTATAATACATAATAAAAACAAAGAGATTTACATTCCTTGACTTGGTAATATTTTTATAATTAACCTCTAAGTCAATAAAAGGCAAACAACACAACCACAACCAAAAATCCCTGAGCTGTGGGGTCGATTCCCACTCAGTGTCATCCTGCAGGCAGATTGGAAGTACCCTCGAGAGTTTCCCAAGACTGTAAAATCTTTACAAGAGCAGAATACATTTTCTCCCATGGAGCAGCTAACAGGTTCAAACTTCTGTCCTTTTGGCTAGAATCTGAGTGCTTAAGCTACCATGACACCAAGGCTGGTTTCTAAATCAATAATTAAAGAGAAAAATAGAAACTTCAAGCCACATACTTAGAACTTTTAATTGTTTCCTACAGCATGCCTATGTTGTTGTTGTTGTGTACTGCTGAGTTTGAATAGACCCATAGCTGACCCTCAGAGGGTTTTCAGAGGCAGGCTAATCGCACAGAAGGAGATTGCCCATCTTTCCTCCATGAAGCAGCTGCTGGCCTCGAACCGTGTGCCTTCAAAGTTGCAGCACACCTTCTTGTCACTGGGCCACCAGAACTCCCGAGCATGTCTATACTGTTTTTGTTGTTGTTATGTGCCGTCGAGTCGTTTGCGACTCATAGCGACCCTATGTACAACAGCCCTAAACCCTGCTCTATATACTAGACAACAAATAAACCAGATTTACTGCTGTTGAGTCTGATTTCAACCCAAAGAGACAGGCTAGGACAGAGGAGAACTACCAACAGGTTCTCAGGGATGCAAATTCTAATAGAAGCAGTCAGCAGCAGCTTCTTCAGTGGCAGTGTGTTTAAAAACTACTGAGCTTTTATTAGCAGTTCAATAATTAACCTATTACACCAGGGCTTCTAGTCAGCAAAGAGAAATAACATAATTGTCTCATAATAAGAATGGGTCAGTACAGTATATTGTACCAATCATGATTTTACTGGGGTGAAAAAAGGAATGAATTTGATAGAAAACTATTCAATCATAATTACAATAAAACAATCGTATGTAAACACATAGGATGAGATGGATTGACACAGTAACTGGGGTAAAGGGGGTAGGTGTGTCAGAGTCACTTCAACTGGTTCAGACAGGGCAGGTTTCAGTGCTACTGTACATAGGATTGCTAGAAGTCTCAGGTGACTTGACGACACATACCAATGACATATAAAAACATTAGGAACACTGGTGGTGTAATGTATTAGGCTGCTAACCAAAAGGTAGGCTGTTTCAAACCACAGGGCTTTCTGTAGGAAAATTTACAGCCCCAGAAACCCAACTGAGGTTTGTCATGAACTGGAATCAACTGTGATTCTCTGGAGTACATAGACGAATTATAACACTAGTGAAGGATAGTGAGAAATACAGAGTTACTGTACCAAAAAGGATTTGTTGACACGGAACCATTTCAGGAAGCATCACATGATCAAAAGACAATAATACTGAAGGAATAATACTGAAGAAATCTAAGCTGCGTGTACAAAAAAAAAAAAAAGGGCCCCAGGAACTGATGAACTATCATTTGAGGTGTTTCAGGAAACAGATGCAACCCTGGATGTGCTTACCAGTCTTTGGCAACAAATACGGAAGAGTGACTTGGTCAATTGACTGGAAGAGATCTAGATTTGTACCCATTCCCAAGAAAGGTGATCCAGCTGACTGAGATTTATCCAACAATAACATTAATATCACATGCAAATAAAATCTTGAATACTATTAAAAAACAAACGGAACAGTGCATTAACAGGGAACTTACAGAACTTCAAGATGGATTGAGAAGAGTCCATGGCATGAGGGTTATAATTGTTGATGTCAGATGGATCTTGACTGAAAGCAGAGATTACCAAAAAGACGTTGACTTGTGCTTTATTGATTATGCAAAGGTGTTTCACTCTATCAATCTATGGCTAAGAATGAGAATAATGAGAATCAGAACACTTACAGCATTTACACAAAACCTATACATAAACCAAGAAGCAGTTGTCCAAGCAAAACAAGGGAACACTGCATGGTTTAAAATCAGGAAAGATGTGCATCAGGTTAGGACACTCCTGGTCAATCTGCACTGAACACAACCTGGCCTCTAGGAATTAAAATGCAACATAGAGATTCAGGGAAGACTCCTCAACAATCTGTGTTGTGCATATGACACAAACTTGCTTGCTGAGAATGAAAAGGACTTGAAACACTTAATGCAAAAAATCAAAGACTACAACTTTCAAAATGGACTACACTTCTACACCAATAAAACAAAAATCCTTACCACTGGATTAATAGGCAACATACGATAGATGGAGAAAATACTGAAGTTTTCAATGATTTCATTTTACTTTGATTCATAATCAGCACCCTTGGTTGCAGAAGACTAGAAATCAAAGGATATGTTCCATTGGGGAAATGTGCTGTCAAGGACCTTTACCAAGTGCTAAAGAACTTGGATACTAGCTGAAAGAGTAAGATGTGTCTGATCTAAGCCTTAGCAATTTCAGCTTCTTCCTATGCATCTGAAAGTCGGACCATGAATAAAAGACAACTGAAAAAGAATGAATTCCTGTAAATTGTGGTATTTGTGAAGAGTAGTGAGTATATAATATACTGCTAAAAGAACAGATAAGTTGTGGGAAGATATAAAGAATATTGTTCATGAAGAATGCAAAAAGTCATTTAAAAAAAAAAAGGAAAAAGAAAAAAAGACCAAAAGGGATGACATAAGAGACTCTAAATATTGCACTAGAGCACCGAGAAGCCAAAGCAAATGCAGGGGTTGGGGGGTGGGGGGATCAAGGAGCTGAACAGAAGATTTCAAAGGGCCACTCGGGAAGACAACACAAAATATTATAATGAAATGTGCAAGGAGCTGGAGTCGGAAAATCAAAAAGGCCAAGCTTGTTCAGCATTTCTTTAGCTTGAAAAAACTGAAAAATAAATTTAAACCACGAGTTGTGGTGCTTTAAGATGCTATAGGCAGAATATTGAAAGATTCAGGAAGCATTAAAAGAAGATGGAAAGAGTATACAGAGTCATTGTACCAAAAGAATTGACAGATACAGAAGAATTTCAAGAAACAAAATATGATCAAGAGGCAATGGTGATGAAGCAGGAAGTTTAGGCTGCTCTGGAG